ATAATACAGACATATTATGTCTATTCATTTTTTAAATAATCCTGTCTAAATCTTTAATTAGATTTTTGATGTTAAGTTGAAAATCCTAAAAAATCCTAAAACTTCTCATAACCACTAATATATTCCCCACTAAAATAAAACAAATCATATACTTTACTAAATTTAGCACAACAAACTCAGTCATAAGCAATAACTCTTCTCTGTCAACTAGTGTTTTGGAAAAGACTAACATTGTATATCAGTTTAAGTGTCCTTTGGGGGATTGTATCTCTGACAGAAAAGTTAAGTACATATGTTCGTTTGACGACCACAACATTATCAAGATGTCTTACACTTCATTTGTCGGATACAAGTTCCATTGTACAATATCTAAAGACACGTTCCAGTTTACCTTCACAATACAGGGAAATACTTGTTGACAACACAAATATACTCCATGATGACAATAATAAGCAAAACGTCAAATTCTCGATGCCCTCTATATCAAAATCAACCAACCAACACTGATCAGAATTTATTACGAGTGCAGCAGAAAAGTTTTAAAATGCATTTGACAAACATTTAATGCCATTTTGCATTTTTACCACTTCCGGTTAGCTCCCTTATATTGTGGACGCTTGTTTACAAAAAACATCGTAGCTACAACGGATAAATTCAACATTTTAAAATAATTATAACAGAGCTCGTTCACACATGTTTACAAAAGTTATCATCACAAGGATCACAGTTACAATAAGTTTGTCTTCGCAATTCACCATTGAAGATGGTCTAGAAAGAGATGGAAAGTTCTTGGGTATACAAAAACCAACGTACCTTCCTTGATGAATTTCAACTTAACCTCAAGAAGCTGATTAGAGAAGTAGAAAGGATTATTATAAAAATAAAGACATATGTCAAAGAAATATACTTGAATGAAAATATGCTGCCAAACTATATATATATATATATATATATAATAATAATAATAATAATAATAATAATAAAATCCAAAATTACATCGTATGGGGAATAGTCTATTACGGCAGACGAAGTTATCGGACGTCTCTCTTATTGACCCCGTGTCGACTGGGTTCGTGTCTATACCGTTAAGAGGGGAAGGAAATAGTATTCGACTGTGAAAGCTAAGAAAAACATAGACAAACAACCTGTCGAAAAACTAATACAGAATTTATCCATTTCAATGTTTCAGTCAGACGAAAGGCACAAGACAGGGGTCAGTGGGAGGGTGGAAGGTATTTGTCTTAAAGGGAAGAAGTTTTATAAAATTAAACCTGAATATTAACCTTATGACATGAATTTGGAAGAATGAAATATTAATTTAAAATAGGAATAAATAGGGACCTAAAAATAAATTTTCAACAATACAGTGTAACCCGGATGTAAGAGACCCGGATATAAGAGAAACCCGGATATAAGAGAGATTTTCTCTGGTCCCAAATTAGAGCCTGTGTTAATGTATATAAATTAGACCAAACACGGATATAAGAGAAACCCGGATATAAGAGACTTCTTCTCCGGTCCCGACAACTCTCTTATATCCGAGTTACACTGTATAGAAAAAAGGATGTAAGGATTAATGGAAAGAGAGTTGGGGAGATATTAAAGTAGGGGAAGTTTATAAATTATAATTAATATAGTGTAAAGAGGTTATAGAAGAGGGGAAATTAAAAATAGAAATTAGAATTAGTTATACTGTTGATATTTGAAGAGGTAGAGGGGAGTATATATTATGGAAATATGGTAGCTAATTAAAACTATAGTATGAAAATTTGAATTTGTTTTTATGTCGACATTTTGACTCTAATTCATTCCTCTGATCCAATATTGTTATATATATCTGACACTAATTCATTCCTCAGATTCATATTATATATATATATATATATATATCTATATATATATATTCACGGATTTGAACAACGAAAAAGAACCCAGAATGACGTCAAAATCCGTGAAAATTTGTTATCCTTTAATAATCAGTTGTGCTTAGTGTAATTTATAACGTATATATATGTAGGTAGAAAAAAAGGAAATGTTGATAAGGTAACGAGGGACACAAAATACTGCCCGGGCCCCTAATCAGGCTTTGCAACCTGCCTGGTTGTGGTGTTCGGGGGGTAGTACCTCTAACTATATTAAAAGTTCAAAGGTCGAAATCAATTTCGTATGACCCGTTTCTCGTTGCTGTCTCACTAAATGAAAATGGAGACAGAGTTCCATTTCACAAATTGATCAGTACTTCAGATTCGCATTAAATGCTTGACCTTTTGAACCCGCTCACAAATCCCACCGCTCCCCACCCCACCCACATACTGCTGCCTGTCAGACAACGGGAACACTTGAAAAAAAAAAGAAATATAGAAAGATCTTGAACGGTTACCGTGGGAATAGTTTACGAGAGAAAATATCCATTTCTTCCCGCGTGAACTATATACCACACTAATCGATTTCACTACTGTTCTGAAATTCTTTAACATCAGCTCTAGGCTGTGATCACTGAGTTTTCGAGGACAATTCTAGCAACGTTAACACGATACACATTACTCCGTACTATAGATGGTTGATTGATTTTCGTTGTCGGTATATCAACCTCTATGTGTTATTTAATGCCGAAATCTAAATATTTTGAACGCAATTATACTATAAAGGTATATTTTTGCTCATTTTATTTCAGCAGTTTGCGGTCCAATACAAAGGACACAAAAACATTCTATATCTACTTTAAGCCGTTTTCTACTGTTTCTTATCTTTTATAAATAAATATATATATCCCATTTTAACAACGAAATGAAATTTGGAATAATCATCGGATTCAACATTCAGAATTTACGGCCCTTAGTATTTACACGAAGAGAAGAAATATATTGAAAATACTTTCAAGACCCTCAAATGTCCTAACTATTTCATAATACGAAACCAGAGGCTCATAAAATATTCTAAAATAGAAAAATGACCCCTTCTGAAAAACCCATCGAATCAAAGAATATATTAGTTCTACACACTACTTCTATCACCGCTACAATCGAAAAGAATTTATCTAAATTCAACATAAAATTTGTCACAACTGCATCTAAAATAATCAAAGATTTAATCAATACAAAACAAAACAACGAACAAAAATTTTGTTGTAGAGTAGTTTTCACAGTGGAGGCTTGTATTTCAATAAGTCGGTCCTAAATTAGGTTCGACGTACAAAACGTTAGGAACTTGAAAATAAGAGTTAATGACGCAGTAATCTAGTTGTGATGGTTGGTACTTAAATGTCCGATATCGACTGACTCGCTCAACACCACTGAGCCCGACTGGCTACCGTTACTACCACTACTACTTATTATGTGTGGGAGAATAATAATAGAATAGGTACGTCAGGTATGACAAATTTGAAGGCTGAATTTACTTTATCACTTCAAAGATTACCAGGAAGAATATATTGGTGAAACCTCAAGAATTTTAAATAAAAGATTATATGATAACAAAAGAGACATTTTAAAAACAACACAATAAACACATTAGTTGCTCACTGTAACGAGACAGGCCACTATTTTGACATAAAAAATGCTACTCTAATCAAACGAGGAAATAATTTACTGTGACGAAAATGTTTAGAAAGTGCTTCAATCGCTACTTCATCCACAGTAAATTTGCATCAAGGTTCTTACAACGTTTCAGCATACTTAGCAGATCTTCTGTTTTCACAATGTGGCTTATTTAATAACAAACATGATAGAAACAAACAAATAAAAGAATGTAAATGAAATTGGCGAAACTCTATAGCCAAAAGACACTTAAAGAATTGTAAAGTTAAAGTCCCCAGCGTCTTTCGTTCGAGCGCATGAACATAAACAAATTGGTCTGATGAAGTCCTAAGGAACGAAACGCGTCGCACGAAAACTTTTTCCAATTTGTCATTCCTTCAAAACTGTTCTTACTATATATAATTACTCCATATATATATATATATATATATATATATATATATATATATATATATATATATATATTCGACTCTCCTGTCGCATTCGACGTATGAGGGTCAAGCAGCTCAGTTCCTTGGAAGCGACAGCCCTGACACCAGCATATATGATTTGATTATAGTGGTGAAGGTTTTGTGCAGAAGCATCCACACAAAAGCAGGGTTTTCTTCAAGGGCTGCTTCAAGAAGCTTTTCATCAAACTCAACTGGACGTCCGGTTCGATCTTCATCTTCAAGGGTGAAATCTCCACCTCTGAATTTTGCAAACCATCTTCTGCAAGTTATTTCATTCACACATTCCTCTCCATAAACTGAGTGAATGTTTCTAGCCGCTTCGGCTGCTGAGTTTCCTTTCTTGAACTCATAAAGCATTATGTGCCTCAAATGATTCTTGGGTACTTCCATGTTAGCAGGGTTTTAATCAAACAAAATTTAATTTCATTGTTCTCTGAAATAAAATTTGATCAGTTTAAATGCATCTAAACATAAAAATAATGTTCAGCTCCATTAGACATTATAAAATACTCTTTAAATTTCGTTCATTTTAACAAAAAGTTAAAATTCGGACACAACTTATGGGATGACCTGATAAGTCCATACAGTAACCGTCTACCTTAAGTGAATATTAGTAAAAACACACAAAAAATATATGTTAGTATTTATTGCGTGAACAAATCGGAAAGATGAAACGTTTAAGAAACCTGTGATTTGCTGAGCAGAAATATCAATTTCTTTATTGTAATGAATCACGACAGATTCCACTGTGAAAAGACTGAAGACAATCTGCTCTGGCGAATTGACAGAAGAAGATGCAAAGGATAATTTATGCGAGAATACAGATTCTGAATTTGGCCCGAATATAGATTCGTGTCTCTTGTCTAAGTCCTCTGTCATGGCGAATTTCCACCGCCAATGAGAACGCTTTTATCCGTATCGCGAGTGCATCTGGCTGATCCTGAGAGCGGGCAGGTTTTTCCTGGCTAAAAATAAATGCTTACATTTTAAGTCGACGCATCAAAATGGTCGCCATCACCATCTCCCTCTCTGTCACACACTGTCCACACCCTATGTCCTTCTATCCTGCCTCTCTCTCTCTCTCTATCTCTCTCTCTCTCGCCACTCCGTATGTCCATCTATCATGTCCCTCTCTCTCTTTATCTGTCTCTTTCTCCACTCCCTATGACCCCCTATCCCGCCCTCGCTCTCTTTCTCTCGCACCACTCACTTCGCCCCTCTATCCTGCCTTCTATTTTTCTCTCTCCCCACTCCCTATATCCTGCCCTCTCACTTTTTCTCTCTCTCACTCTCCCCACTCCCTATCTCCCTATATCCTGCCCTCTCACTCTTTCACTCTCTCACTCTGTCCACTCCCTATGCCCCTCTATCCTGTCCACTCCCCCTTTATTTCTCTCTCTCTCCACAAACTCCCTATTTCCCTTTATCCTGTCTTTCTCTCTCTCTCTCTCTCTCTCTCTCTCTCTCCACTCCATATGTCCCTCTATCCTGCCCTGTCTCTCTCTTTCTCCTTCTCCCCACTCCCTATGTCTATCTATCCTGCCTCTCTCTCTGTCTTTTTCTTTCTTTCTCTCTCATCTTTCTGTGTCCCTCTATCCTGCCCCCGCTCTCTCGACCCCCTCCCTCTCTCTTTCTCTCTCTTTCTCTCACTCTCTCTCTCTCTCTCTCTCTCAGTCTTACTATCGATTGAGAATTTCCTGGATATTATTTACGTTGTAATTCTACTTTCCTTTCCCTGTCTCTTCCCAAACTACTCTCTCCTAATTCATATTCGCTCTTCACTCTCCCTCTTTCTCTCCCTCTCCATTCCTTCAACAGAGAGAGAGGGGGAGGAAGAGAGATATAGCTACAGAATTCATAGGCTTGACAACAATTTGTAAATCCTTTCATACAGGTCAAATATGGCTGACTCAAAATGAGTTCTAGTTGGTTTGAATCTCGTGGGCGTGCAATCCAGACGGTGATAGATGGCCTTTGGTTAAGTTTTAATATAAGACCCCAAAACACGCAAAAAACGAATGTTGGTGCTCGTACGAGTCCCCACTCCCCCAGATTTCCTTTGCGTGTCCTGAGAGAGAAACGACCGAGTGGAGATGATAGGTAACCAGCCGGCCTGTTCACATCTATATATCACCCCCAAAATTGAGCAAGTAAAAAGAAACTTGAAGATATATACATTGGGTCTACGAAGAATGAGTTTAAAACAAGATGGAGGCAGCATAAGTGCTCCTTCAATAATATAAATAAAAGAAATCAGACATCTCTATCTAAGTATTTTTGGCATTTGAAGGAAATGAATAAAACACGAAAAGTAAAATGGAAAATTATAAACAAAACTAGAACTTGTAAAACTTGGGATGACCCATGCCCTTTATGCCTACATGAAAAACTACACATTAAGTTTCTAAATAATAAAAAACTATTAAACAATAGACATGAGTTGACGGTTTTTTCCGACATCATCAAATTTTTGCATTGAATAATTAGCATAAAAACAATCAAACAATAAAATAATTTTTAAATTCCATAGTCTAAATAAAAAGTTTAAATGCCCTACAAAAAAAAAGATAACCCTTTATGAAGTCGTTAAAAAAATAAATGTTAGCAACATATGACAGTTTTTTTATATACACAAAACCCTTTCAGAAAAAAATAAAAATAAAATAAAAAAATAAAATAAATCTCCATAGACACTTAACCAGACTAGACGATGTCATCTTCCGCTTTAAATTTAGACACCCGCAACCTTACCCTGACTTGACCTCTTTGAATGTAACTGAGATATTGATACAAATTATTAACACCTTACGCCCATTTTCTTTAAATAATTGCTCTAGCTGTTACCATTGTAATTTTAATTTTAATAATGAATATGCTTATAAAACGCGTAAATTTCAGGAATTAGTTATTCAAAAAAAAAAAAAAATTTCGCTTGAACAGAGCCTGGTACTTTAATTCAATTTAATTCAAATAATTATATTGAAGTTTTCGGCTCTTGTTTTGAAACATGAGAACTCTTATGTAGCGTTGGAATCATATTTTTTAAATAATTATATATATATATATATATATATATATATATATATATATATATATATATATATATATATACTAATGTATAAAGGAAAATACAGTAGGAAAACTGCATTATTAACCGACGCGTTTCGTCCAATGGGGACTTTTTCAAAACAATAAACGAAATGAATTAATTGAAACAAAGTATCTATAAACAACAACAAAAATGGTAGCAATTAGAAGAATTAAGAAACGCTATTGTATATTCATATGATCAACTGAAAAATTACGTCAATTAGTTTGTTTAAAGACAATATTTTCACATAAAGAAATATTGTTTGTATTGACAACAAATATTAAACACTATTAGATTGCTTATTTACACTGTCACTTATTTTGGAATATTTGACAAACATTGGCTAATTGCCAATCAATTCTAACTTCATAAAATGGTAAATAATAAGTATTTACTTATAGTTGATACACATATTTTAATAATTTAGTAAATGTTTGTAAATTCATGAATACAGAAATGTTTCCATATTTGTTTCTTCACAAATTTATTTATTGCATTAATTGTATTAGTTTTTAGAATGTTGTAAATATAAAATTATTCTTGAAAATAAACAATCTACTAAATATAAGTTCCTAATATTTTTGTTGTAAAATCTCAAGAACAAAAAGAATGTATAAATTCACTTTCAGCAGACGTTTATGTCTTATTACAAGTCTAATCATCGCTTTTTAAAGCAATAGAAATTGCCGGTGCGTGAACGTAGTTGATATAATAGCGGTGTCAAAGGAAAAACAGTCCTTTTCAAAGACCGTTGTTTGCGGCCAGGAAGGTCGAAGTTTGCCAATAGATTGCTAATGATTTTTTCAAAATGCAAAGCATTGCAAATAATTTTTATTGTAGGAATGAACTGATAATCAATAAAGAAATGATTGCCAGTGGTCAAGAATGAATGCAAACGTTACTGACAGAATGTAAACACATTGCCAAGAATTTACGGATAGGAAAGCATTGTAAACAAATTTACTATCGCATTGCCTTGTAAACAATTTTACCATAGAAACAAATCGAGAATCTGGAAAAGATAGATTTTCAGGTGGGCAGGAATTAAGGTAAGGAAAAATTAATTCCTGAATTCTTAAACATCTTTTCAAATAACAATCAGAGAAACGGAATTATCATTTCTCCATCGCCTGCAGGCAGGCAACACCATATAGATTGGCTGTTAAAGATTCTGGATTGCTAAAAGGGAATTTTATTTGAATAAACAAGTTAGATCATATTTGACAATGTTGGGGAATTATAAAACTAACTTGTTACAATCTTAACAACCGTTTGTTTGTACCACCTCTTTTTACATTTTACCGAATCTTTTTACATTTTACCGAATCTTTTTGCATTCTACCGAATCTTTTTACATTTTACAGAATCTTTTTAAATTTTACAGAATCTTTTTACATTTTACCGCCTCTTTTTACATTTTACCGAATCTTTTTACATTCTACCGAATCTTTTTACATTTTACCGAATCTTTTTACATTTTACCGAGTCTTTTTACATTTTACCGTCTCTTTTTACATTTTACCGAATCTTTTTACATTTTCCGAATCTTTTTACATTTTACAGAATCTTTTTTACATTTTACCGAATCTTTTTACATTTTACCGAATCTTTTTACATTTTACCGCCTCTTTTTACATTTTACCGAATCTTTTTACATTTTCCGAATCTTTTTACATTTTACAGAATCTTTTTACATTTTACCGCCTCTTTTTACATTTTACCGAATCTTTTTACATTTTACCGAATCTTTTTACATTTTACAGAATCTTTTTACATTTTACAGAATCTTTTTACATTTTACCGAAACTTTTTATATTTTACCGAATCTTTTTACATTTTAACGCCTCTTTTTACATTTTGTACTGACCATGATCGAAGTTGCTTGGGAGATCGTACAGGGACCGGTTTTTTCAACGTGATATAGCCGTAAGCCATTTAACTCACATATCCTAGATTACAGCACCTGTTATTTCTAAGCGGTCACCCGACTAGGTACTGACCAGGATCGACATTTCTTAACTTCTGTGATCGTATGAAAAGCATGCAGGAATTGAGGAAAGCTTTACGGACACTGTGTTATTATATGTAAAACATCATTATTAATTTAAAAGCACTTTGTTTAGAACCTTCGTCTTTATAATTGTAAAGGTTTTAACGATCATTCCAGTGTTAATATATCTAGATTTTGAAATATCAGCAAATATATATATATATATATATATATATATATATATATATATATATATATATATATATAATTAAATCATTATTAGTTATTCGGAAATAGCAAAGATGCATATTTTGTCTTCAAAATCGACTTCCCGCGTAATTGATGCTTAACTGAAGCGGAACGTGCGCCATTTTGGCAATCAATATGGATGAAGAATGATGAAAAAAAGAAATTGCTTCCGATAAGGTGGAGTAAGGTGAGGGGGGAACGGTTGAGGAAAAAAAGAAAAAACGATAGGGAAGGAGAAGGAAAAGTAAAGAGAAAAGAAGAGAAAGGTAAAGGAAAGAGAAAGATAAAAAAAAACTAGAAAAGAAGATGAGAACGACACCAAAAGAGAAACTGAAATGTAAACAGGAGAAAGATGAGCGTTGATTAATAAAGAAGAAGAAGAAGAAGAAGAAGAAGAAAGAAAGAAAGAAAGAAAGAAAGAAAGAAAGAAAGAATATAAGAGGGAGAAATTAAAAATTGAAATGATTATTAAAAAAATTTATATTAGATGTGTGTGTGTGTGTGTGTGATTTCTGCATATGGACGTGATCAATATTAAATAAATATGATCTATACATAAACTGACAAGATGTCAGATCATTTCCGAATAGCTTTTGTCGCACACCTTCTACTAAGATAGATAAATAGATAGATAGATAGATAGATAGATAGATAGATAGATAGGAACAGACTGAAATAGATAGATAGATAGATAGATAGGAACAGAATAAGATAGATAGATAGATAGATAGATAGATAGATAGATAGATAGATACAGACTGAGATAGATAGATAGATAGATAGATAGATAGATACAGACTGAGATAGATAGATAGATAGATAGATAGGAACAGACTGAGATAGATAGATAGATAGATAGATAGATAGATAGATAGATAGATAGATAGATAGATAGATAGGAACAGACTGAGATAGATAGATAGATAGATAGATAGATAGATAGATAGGAACAGAATAAGATAGATAGATAGATAGATAGAGAGAGAGAGAGAGAGATAGATAGATAGATAGATAGATAGATAGGAACAGACTGAGATAGATACATAGATAGATAGATAGATAGATAGATAGATAGATAGATAGGAACAGACTGAGATAGATAGATAGATAGATAGATAGATAGATAGGAACAGACTGAGATAGATAGATAGAAACTTTCTTTTCTTTTTAATCATGGAAAAATCACTAGCCTTAAAAACTAATTTCAGCCATATACAAAAAGAAAGAAGGGTTGATCATGGGTTCATCGTTGTCACCAATGATGGCGAAATATACATGGAATACTTCGAGAAAATGGCATTCGGAACGGTTCCACTAAGGCCAACAGTATGGCTGAGATATATAGACAACACTTTCATACTCTGGCCGCACAAGGAAGCTGTACAATCACTTCTGGGCCATATGAATTCAATAAAACCTTCGATCCTGTTCACAATGGAAGATGAAAATATTAGCAATATATATATATATATATATATATATATATATATGTGTGTGTGTGTGTGTGTGTGTGTGTGTGTGTGTGTGTGTGTGTGTGTGAAGAATATATA